TCTATTTTGGAGTTTTTTTGAGAAACTGAAGAAAAAATAAATAATACTCAATAGTTTTTTGGTGTTGTTGTTTTCAATATATTGTAGTTTAAAACTGGGAGGATATGAGATCAAGAATATTTCTTCACTAAAGTAGATTGGATAGGGCACCTTAATGTTCAAAATCTTATCTTGGTCTAATTTGCTAAACTTAAAATATTACAGAAAGGCGAACTTTCCTGGCCAGTAGCCATAAATTTAGTATTAATGATGCCTAAAACTTCCCATAATAGAACATTTGCAAGTTGCTTGAAACTTAAAAATATTTTAATCATTTGAGTAAAATATCCCATGTAGTAGAATAACTAGGGCGGGGCGAATGAGGCGCAGTCCCAGGCGCTGACTTGGAGGGGTGCCATTATGGCCCTCTCCCCCTCAGGAGGTTTATGCACAACAGGGTAACCCGGCTATAGGGACCAGGCAGGAGCTATTGTCCATAACATATCTGTGGTGGAGGAGTATGCATGAGGCGAGTGGAATGAGCCCCCTTGGAGGCTTTGCCGTGAAAGGCACGGCCCTATGCTCAGAAGCATCTGGGGAGGTAGAGAGAGGGAGCAAACAGGATATCAGTAGTGACCCTTGTAGAGTCTGCACTTGTAGAGACCTTGTAGAGGCTGAGCTGCAGTCAAGACTGTGCCTCAGCTGCAGCAGCCTAATAAGATCACACTGCTACAGCAGGGGCCGGTAAGATTCTGTTCCTGCTCCCCCTTGCACCGTCCCTCCTGATCTCCAGTGGTCAGCATAATACCCACCACGACCTCTGCCCTGGGCATTGAAATATCTTGCTACACCTCTGATTTTATGCCAGGCCCTCTTGCTCGCACAATTTTTTTTATGAGGAAAAAAAGGGCAGCACAGCCAACATGATTTAATGATTTCCTAAAAAGAAGCTCTGTTCTTTTTCTTGTTTAGCTATTTAAGTGAGTTTCTTTTGAACATCCATACCACCTTCAATGTTTGGAGGAAGGACCTGAAATTGGGAAAAGGGTAGCCTTTGTGTTGGAGGCTACCCTTTCCACTCCACTCAAAGATTTCCACTCTTTGCTAAGCAGTGGAAATCTCTCCAAATTTACCGTAAAAGCAGTTCACATGCTCTTGGTGGAGACTTGGATTTTAGCAGTAGAATCTTGAATAGAGCCTTTTACAGATCTTGGTGCTGATTATAATGTGCAGTCACCAACCTCACTATTCAACAGAGCAGACACCATCCTTTAACAGCTCCTATATATGACCTGACCAGTGCTGGAGGGAACATTTGAGTGGGGAAATAAGGACCTTGTGGCACTAGACAAGGAGACTGGGTGAGAAGATCATAGGGAATACCTACCTAGCTGACAAGGAACTGGAGTTAAGAGGGGAAACTAGAATTGGCTATGCAAAAAAATGGAAGGTATAGGGAGAGAGAGATTGTGGCAAGTTGCTGGAGAGGGCAAACTGAGAATAGATGAAGAAATGGGGTTCATATACCAATACAGTGGAGATAAAGGTCCAAACTTCACTGATGACTCAAAAGGTTGTTAATCATGCCTTATGATTGGATTTGTTTCAGTTTTCTTTTTTTTTTTTTTAATTACACACAGAATTACATTAAAACACTATTAACATTGCAAAGTCAAACACTCAAATATTAGGAAATATTGTTAAGTAAGGCTCTCCATCAGTAAAAACAGGGGAAGAAGGAAGAAGGAAGGAAGGCAGGCAGGCATTAGTATTTAGTTGGTTTAATAAAAGATATCACCTCTACCCAGAGAGTTTGTCTGCCTTTACGCTTAGATCAATATAGCTACAGCCAGGATCTCTGAAACATGGAAGATATTGCATTTTGCCATTTGAAATGGAAACTTCACAACGTGAAGAAGAAATAAGCCAAATTCAACAGCCTGGACTAAATATTAACATCAATTTTACGGCCCTCTACAGCCTGTCTGCCATCTGACCCTAGGTAACCAGCCTGCTTTTGTCTCTGCAACTCCTCTCCATTTGCATTCTCACAGAACAGCTTTCCAAAGACTGGCTTCTTTTATACCTGAGAGACTTCTGAACATCTTTAATTTCTCTTGCCATTCTCAATTTCTTTTTTTGCCTGAAGAATGACGTGTGTGTCCAAAAGCTTCCAAATAACAACTTTTTTGCAACTATTTAGTTGGTCTAATAAAAGATATCACCTCTACTCAAAGAGGTCATCTCCTTCCTGAGCACTTTAAACTCTAATGGTGAAACTATACAACTTATTATTGTATGAGGCTTAAGTTTTATTATTATGAAATAAAGCATGAGTCCATATATTGAACAATCATGGTAAAACAAAATATTAATAATTATTCATTCAGTGAGCACCATCTTTCCAGTACCTTGACTGAGGAAAAAAGCTGTGGAAAGAATAACACCTGATGATGTGAGCAAAGGACATGTCAATGAAATGATGCTACAATGCACTGTGTGTGGGAGGGGAGGAGGAAAAGAGGTGGGGCACAACCTTTTTGGCAAACATGCCACAAACTAAACCCTGCACCCTTTCCAAGTGCCACTCCAATCCCCTTCCCATATCCCATCTAAGCTCTGCTTTCTGCTCCCAGCCCTGTGTCCCCTGACCCATCTGCCACTCTGCTTTCTACCCCCACCCCAATATGCTGCATGCTGCAGACAGAGGTTTCCTGTACAGGTTGGCCACCTCTGTTATAATGTATATGCACTAGATGGTTGAAGGTGCCATGAAAGGGCAATGCTTAATTCTAGCATTTCAAAACTTTGGAGAGCTTGACTTTTTCTACCTTAGAAATATTCTTTTATGACTTTTTATGACATAGCAGATATTGTAAACCAGTAATCTAGCTAAGGGGGATGAGCAGAGCACTAGCCCCAGGCACTGATTTGGAGGGCCCACACAAAATAGCAACTGCTACTGCTACCAGCAGTGGTGACCCACCCCTGCCACTGTCCAGGATGCAGAACTGCCCAGACAGATCTCCCCTGTAAAGAAATGGTGCACTTGGTTGCCTGCCTGTGGTATATATAAGAGCCAAAGATGAGGATAATATCTTTTAGGTTTCTTTCACTACTTTAAGTAGAATAGGTCTGTCAAATACACACCTTTCAAACACAAGTATTTTGTGAAGGAGTACAACAAACTGAGATGATTCTACGTGTCTACTTACCTAATAATCAGGGCTCCTGGTTTTCTCTGGTAAAAAAAAAAAAAAAAATCTCCAATTTTCGGATTAAAAAAAGTAACCCCAAATCCAAATGTTTCCATGATTAAAATGAAACACCACATATATATCTATATATTAGTGGTGTTTCATTTTAATGATGGAAACATGTGGATTTGGGGTTACTTTTTTAATCTGAAAATTGGATTGTTTTTTGTTACCAGAGAAAACCAGGATTCCTGCTAATAATAGTGTTTCAAACCAGCTGAGATAAAACAAATTCCCACAACATCTTCAGTCAAGTGACTGAGGATTTATCTAAGCAATACCACTTAGTGCTAAAGGCAGCTGCAAGTAGATCTCTTGCCCTAAATCTCTGCCCCGTACTTAAACAGCAAAATGCATATTAAGTACATACGATATGCAAAGTTAAATCCCAACTTCCTCACCACTTGGTAAGCACCCCCAGTAGCTAATTCTCTGAGTGACTAAGGCATATGCTAGTTTGCAGCTGCCCGCTCTCTTTCCACTGCTCACTAGTCTAGGTCTATAAGGGTGATAGACACTTCATTTGATTCCTTGGAATGGAAAGAGGACCACTGAGAAGTGCAGAGACAGAGCAGGATAGATGCTTCAAGTAAACCCATCTCTCAGTCCTAGCACAGGATACCTTTCCTTCTGACATAAGAAGAGAGCATGAGTAGCAACTTCACCCCCATTCCCACAACCTATGAAAATCGGACTGCAGATAAATTGGAGGACTGAGTTAGAGAGGGAGGAAGGGGAGGGGAGAGAGCAGTTTGCTAGGACAAGCTAAAATAAGCGTAGGATCAGTCTTCAAGGTGGTAGTGAAGAGACTTGAAGTATGTTTGTTTGTATGGAGGTAAAACATTGCCCTGCTGGGACACAAAGTGGGCATAGCATTAGTTAGGTGCAAAACAAGGAAATGGAAAATGAAGTCTAGATTGGTGATCCGATGAGGACTTTGAGCATGCAAGGCATCAGGAGATGGATTAATGGAAGAAAGGCGTGACTGAAAAACTAAGACGTGGAAAAAAACCTGAGGGTGAGCAGAGGCAGCAGACAGATTTGGGGAATGGAGCACATGTTTGAAAAGCACTGAGCATTCAAAAGCCTGAAAATTCATTGGTGAGACTAGGGTCAGCAAGAAGAGGGACTGCTGCCAGAGTAGTGACTGTGCTGCCTTTGTGAGGCATGAAAGTTGGGCATAGGATGCATGGCATGTTGCAGCTAGAAATGAAGAGTGTGGACTGGGAGAAAACTATAAACTGAATAGTCAGTACAGAATCAGAAATGTATGGAGAATGCACAAAAAAAAAGTTTTGGTAGTAGATGGAAAGAACAACATACAGGAAAGCTTTGGGTGAATGGACAAAAAATGGAAATAGTTTGGGAGTAGGAAGACAGAAAGAAGTATTGATGTGAGCAGAATAGAGAGATAATAGGAAACAAATCAGAAAATGTGGATCCAGAACATATACATAATGCACAATAGAAAGGGTGTGAAAAGGCTGTGTGTGAATGGGTTGGGAGCAGAGGAAAAGCCTCGATGATATAAAATAGAAAATGAGAAATGTGTTGGTGAAGAGAGGAAGAAAAACTTACACACAGAAATAGAAGGTTATTTGTAGAAAGAGACAAGCAGAGAGAGAAGAAAAACAAATGGAGAGAAGAGAAGGTTTTGTAAGGAAGGATAAAAAAATGAGTAGGTACTTGTAATTGGTGTATTGTTCAACAAAAGTCCTGATCGCAAAACAGTATATAAACGTCAAACATTTGTTTGTATGGTACCTTGTGGTGTGGAATGAGGGGTCTTGGGAGACCTGGCTGGGAGCTAGGCATGGGCACCTAAGGAACCTATAATATGTATGGAGAAGAGGATACTTTGCTTTATTATTTTTAAAACAGAACAAAAATAAAAACAAGAAATAATCTGTATTAAACCAGTGTTCACACCAGTTGTTAAGAATGTTTTAATGTATTTTTGTGTTAGGAAAAGTATGAACATGTTGAGGCTCATGGATTTTAATATATCTTTATTGGTGTCTTAACTTTTAAGGATATCTCAGCAACTTGAAATCCAGCCAGCACTGAAAAATGAATGGAAAAGGCATTTCAAGAGCTCTTGGTCTTCTCCGCCAATTTTAATGGTGTATGCTCTTTTTTCCCCAAATATCCTTTCCCCCCCTATTTTTAATAGCTTCTCATTAATAGCTTCTCACCCAGTTGTTGTATTAAAGACCCATATAAAGTCAAGTGTACAGATGACTCAATATACTTTTAAATGTAATTTTTATGTCAACAGCATTCTTTAACTAACACAATTATCCATCAACTTATTCTGGATCAGTTGATAATTTTGATAGCTGATACATCATTTTTGGTTTAAATTCTTGGCCTAAAATTATTTAAAATGAAGGCAATTATACTCAGTATTTCACAATTCATATTCTTTTTTCTTGTCTCTCCACCGAATCATGCCACTTCCTTGCCTTTGGCTTGTCTAACTATACACCTGGATAGCATATTCAATATCAAAATTACAAAAGAGTAATGATTGCTGATAAAGGCAACTGTACTATCCATGCACTAATATGTGCATAGCCCAAAGGAATAAGATTTGCCCTAGTAAATGTATTACCATGATATTAAAAACCAAGACATTTCCAGCAAATTTTCCACATACAAAAAACTAGAACTCTTGGTTCCAAAATGATACCTTTCAGTTGGTCTAATAAAAGGTATAATTTTGGAACCAAGAGTTCTAGTTTTTTGTATGTCTTTTTGTCTCAGATCAAGACGGCTACCAAGTACACCCCTGGAACAAATTTTCTAGTAACTATCAATCTTAAAAAGATGTTAACTCATTTTAATTCAGCCAGCGTAGGTCAATCTTGGGAATACAGAGCTAAAATTGTGGCAGGGAT